ATTTTTCATATTCTTCTCTGTCTTTCTCTTTATCTGTTTTTAGCTATTTATTTCTGGCTTGCACTTTTTTTCCTGTTATTTCTCTACATTCTTGGTTATACCATCCGTTTTTTGTTTTAGCCTTACTTTTACCTATCTGCATATTTGCACCTTCTTCTATTGATTTTTTGATCGTCTCCCATTCTGTGTTTATATCTTCTGCTTTATATTTCTCTTTTATTTACTTACTAATATGCGAGAACATCAGCTGGGATATTACTGACTACTTTCAAATTATCATTACCCCACTAATCAGGGGTCAACCTTCTTTTTTTTTAAATCGGTAGCTAAAAACCCCTTTTAAATTATTGCTAACGGGGATTTTCAAGGTACCAGTTTTCAATGGTTAAAAACAGCCTTTGAATGCTTTATACCAGCGATTTCTTTGGAATTTGCTAGGAGAAAGTTTGCTTAGGAGACAGTTAATCTGTGGGTAAACATATCTTTTTCATACATTATCAGCTTTCATGGGGATTTACCTAGCTATAATTTAAGAACTGTAAGTTAATTGCTACCAGTGGCGTAGCAACACTTGGATACATTTATTACAGAAATTTATTTTTCCTTTATTGTTCTATTATTATTATTATTATATCCTTTTTTTCCCATTTCCTTTCAACTAAGTAATTAAAAAAAAATCAAAATTTCAACAAATAAGGAAATGAGATCTCTCCATTGTAGTGGTATTTATAAATTGACGTAAGTATAAAATTAAAATCTTTACCAATTAGTTACTTATAAAAACATTTTATTGTAGCATAGCTCCGATGATGGCTTTGTAAAGCCGAAAGCGCTCAGCTAGGAATTATTAAAAAATATACACACTTCAAAAATACTTTTTTGCCTTTTCTTTTGAATGTTTTTTAACCAAGAAGCTTGTTTTCTTCCTACACCTCTACGGCACTCTATTTTGCCTTTAAGGATCAGTTGTAAATTTTTATATCGACTTCCCCTTCCTATATGTCCCAGATAAGACATTTTTCGATGTTTAACAGTCTTTAGCAGTTCTCTATATTTGTTGACGCTCCTTAGTACTTCTTCATTAGTTTTTCTTGCTGTCTAAGGTATCTTCAGCATTCATCTATGAACCTACATTTCCAATGCTTCAATTTTGTTCATGATCGATACTTTTAGCATCCACACTTCTGCACTATACAAAAGTACAGACCAAATATAGTACTTAACCATTATTTACCTTAGTTCTAAACTGAGATGGTTATTGCAAAGAAATGACTTCATTTTCATAAAAGTAGTTTTAGTCATTGCTTTTCTACGTTTTATTTCTAAGTTTGGATCTAGTTGGTTCGTTATCACAGTTCCCAAATATGTCATTTTGTAAACTTTCTCAACTTCGACTCCATTCAATTGAAGCTTCGCATTTTTTTGTTTGAGTTTATTTTAATGCCCATTTCCTCTCCTACCTCGTGAATATGATTAAGCAGAATTTGAAGACCTTCGATATTATCTGATAGAATTACTGTATCGTCTGCATATCTAATCACATTAAGTAGTTCTCCGTTGATTTTTATTCCATATGGTTGTCTCTCAAGTGCCTTTTTAAATAACTGGTCCGAATAAACATTGAACAATGTTGGCAACAACATGCAACCTTGTCTGACTCCTCGTTGTATCGAGATTTCATTGGTGTAGTTATCTTCAATTTTTACGATAGCAGTTTGATTCCAGAAAAAATTTTTAATGACACGAATATCCTTGTCATCTATTCCAATATTTTTCAGCATCTGCATTCATTTTACATGCTGTACTTTATCAAATGCCTTTTTGAAGTCCACGAAACATGCAAATACATCTTTTCTTTGGTCACAGCATTTTTGTAATAGAATGTTAAGCGCAAAAAGCGCCTCCCTGGTTCCCATAGCATTTTTAAAACCAGATTGGGTGTCTTCAAGATTTTCTTCGCATTTGCGTCCAATTCTGTTGTGAAGTATTCTGAGGAAAATTTTAAGAGAGTGGCTCATTAGGCTAATTAATCGATATTCTGAGCATTTTCTCGCTTAGGTATTGCGATAAAGATGGATTTGAGCCAATCTACAGGAATCACCCCGGTGTTATATATTGAATTAAAAAGTTTTACTACTACTTTTATGTTATCATTCTCTATTAGTTTCAGCAACTCAGTTGGTGTATGATCTGGACCACAAGCTTTTCTAATTTTATCAATATTTATAGCATGTTCTGCTTCGCATTTCATTATTTCTGGGCCGTCAGTACAGTTTTGGTAGAATTCGGCAATATTATTCCCGTCATCTTCAACTTTGCCAACATCTGCCTTTTCTTAAACTAACCTAAATATTTTCAGCAATTCTCTTTTGGCAATTGCTGTTAGCAATACACCGTTTACAAAGGCAAGAATATAAAAGTTATTACAATAAATTCACTTTAACAGTTTAAAATTTCCAAAAGAACTTTAGTTTTGATTTATAGATAGAAAACAGATTTATTTTAACTTGAGGAAACAAATTTACGCTATTTATTCTGCTCGGAGGTAAATTTAAACATCAAATCTGAACTAATTTAAAACATGTTACTTTACTGTTTGCTAACTCTTAACTGTCTGGCAGTATCGTCTTAAGGTTCATACATATTTGATGAAATCAGGAGCTATATCCGTTTAAAAATTCAGTCCGTCCCTTAAAAGGCGGTTTAATGGAGCCGTGATTACGGTACGTATAACAAAAACTGAAGTTTGTTAATGCTTTTTACGTTTTAATTTGGAGCTAACAGTATTCTGAAGGTTTTTTAAACTGACTTTTTATTTTTTATTTAAGCGGCATCAGAAATTTACTTAAAGACGTAAATTGTGAAAGAAGAAAACAATGAGGAGATAGAATTACGATTTAAATTAAAATTACATTAAAGTGATCAAATTGTCACATCCACCTAGTACAATTTAACTTCCTGTTCAGTATAATTATTTATTTCTGTTCTATTATCAAGAATTTATAAAAAAATCATAGATTCAAACGTCATGTATCTATTTTATTTTTAATTGTATGTAGATGTTATGGATTTTATTTAGTGCTTTCTACTTTAAAATCCACAAGGAAAACAATTCCTGTAGCTGGCTGTATACCACGTATCACAAAAAAGAGGTTAGTATACAGTTAGTATATAGCATATTTATTTAAAAAAACCCCTAAAAGGGCTACATCAAAAAAACAAACGTTTTCGGACTAAACAGTCCATCATCAGGTTTAAAATTGCTAGGTTAAAATGCCTGAGCTACCAAAATACCAGGGTAAAAACCCTTTAAATTCACCCTTCCACCCAATAGAACCCCTTCTACAAATTAAAATTCAGATATTTAAACAATTAGTATAGATAGAGTATTGAAATAACCTTTATATTGTTTAAAAAGATTTTACTAATTGATTTTGCATTAAATATTTGTCTAAAACTTAATTTTTATAAGTTTAAACTTATCTAGACTTTTAACATTTACCCAAAATTATGATTTTAACAAATCATTTGATGATGCTTTCTTAAATTTGAGCTAATTAATTCTAATTTGGATCTCTCTATTGTTTTGTATTATACGACTGAAGTCTGGTAGAACTTAATTTCATATATTTACAAACTAAATTCAAAAATAAAGGATGTATTCTGCCAATGAAAATGCCTCTCTAAACTATAACGAGAAACTTTGAATGTTTGAACAATGTAAGAGTTATATCTTTCAAAGATATAACTCTTATATTGTAAAGAAACTTCTTGTTATTGCTCAAATTTTAAATAAAGATATATCTAGTAAACAAATTTACAAGTTCTAATATTATTTAATTAGAACTTGTTTTACAGGGTCACTTGTTTTGAAAGTTATCTAATTTGAATTGCATATCTTTAAATACAATCATCTTAAAACTATTTAATTATTATTATATGCCTTCACAACACTACATCATTCAATTTTGTAATGATATTCATCTTTTTAAATCATGATATGTCTTGAATACCACCAATTATTAAGATATTTTTCATTACCATACAACAGTAGTTAGCTTACAGAGGCGCCACCTGCTTTGGCGGCCGTGAACGAAAACAATATAGTAATATCATTTTCTGTGTCCTCTGGGCTATCCGAAATGTGTAACAGATTAAATTTTCTAGCAAAAGCAAGAAGCTTTGTAAAATTAAATGGCCAAATATATGGCCCAGGAGGACAAAAACGAGTTTTGTTTTCTTTTTCCAAAATCTGTACATTTTCAAAATCAAAAGTATGTCTATTTTCTAGAGAATGTTTGGCTAGGGCTGTTATGTTTAATGCATTAGTTTGTATACTATGTTTGTGTGCAACAACTCTTCTATGTAGGTATTGGTGTGTTTGCCCAAATATGTTAAATTATAGTCTTTACAATTTATTTTATAAATAATGTTTGAATGATGGTCTTTATTAACGTTAGGTTTAAATTTTGAAAAATATTTTCTAGATGTTTTTGATGATTTATGTCAACATTAATATTATACTTTGCAAACATTTTTGACATTTGTTTAGAAAAACCATTAATGTATTGTAAAGTATTTGTTTGAGTCAGTGACAATATTATTATTAATATTATTATTGCTAGGTATGGTTTGGGTTTGTTTTGGTTTGGTATTGGAATTGGATTGATTTCTAATAATATAATTTCTTTTATTAATTAGGGGGTTGTAAAATTCTGATGGAAAATTATTTTTTTCTAAAATATCTTTAACTTTTCTCAAATTTGTTGAAGGGTACTGTGGACTAGATAGTTTAATTGCTCTGTCAGTAATACTGAACACAACTTCTGTTTTATGGTCTATAGCCAACGCACCCATTCCCAACGGTATTACTACTTAGCTGTATATTTATGTGATTCCACGACTCATTTCAATTACGACTTTTTTGAGGAATAATACTTAAAAGAGCGATAGCTACGGATAGACATGTATTAAGATAAAAAGAAAAATTAAAAACTTACCTGAGCATTTCATTCCTTGATGAATTACGCCGTATAATAGAGAACCACAATGGTCACAAAATGTAGGAGATGAGTATGTATGCACTTTAAAGTTGTGTTTAGTTCGGGTGTCCTGAAAAGAAAATAAAATTAGATTCTAAAATTAGAACGTCTACTAGTAGACGGCTAATCCTTCCAACACCGGACCATACCAAATCAGATGGCAAAGATCAAGCCACAACGATTCTTCTCAGAGCCAACACTGACAGTAGCGAGCATAAATAGCGAGGGCATCACTACAGCCAAACAAGATATCTTATCAGAATTCTGCAATAACACGAAATGTGAGATATTGTGCATCCAGGAAACCCACAGAGACCTAACTGCAGCGAGACCGAAAGTCTCTGGTATGAAACTGATTGCGGAGATACCACACAATAAGCATGGGAGCGCGGTATTTGTGAGAACTCAAACCATAGTCTCATCTGTGGAAACAACAAATGTACACGGTATAGAGATAATAACCACTGAGATCGGAAAATGCACAATAACCTCGGTATACAAGCCCCAAACTAGCCTTTTATATTTTCACCCCCAACTAATTTTCAATCACAAGCCAATCAGCTTGTACTGGGAGACGTTAACAGCCACAGTTTACTCTGGGGCTATGCAGATTCGGGCGCAAATGGAGACGCAGTAGAAGCATGGGTCGAAACGAGTGGCCTCACGTTAATCCATGATCCTAAACTTCCACCATCTTTTCATAGCAAAGTTTTGAAAAGAGGATATAACCCGGATATCTGTTTTTCAAGCAACAACCTCGAAGACCGATGTACCAAAGTAGTATATGGCCCCATACCAAAAACTCAGCATAGATCAATTGGTATAAATATTTTCCCAATTGTCAGACCACAAGCTATTCCATTCAGAAGGAGATTTAACTTCAAAAAGGCAAACTGGCAAAAGTATGCAGACATGATAGATTTTGAACTACTACGCCTTGAGCCAAAAGTAGAGAACTACGAAAAATTTGTAGAGGTACTCAAAAATGTGTCTAGAAAAACTATCCCTAGAGGATGTAGACAACAATATGTTCCCGGGATGTCCAGCGAGTCCAAAGAACTAATGAGAACATATGAAACCCCCTATTCCACTGACCCTTTTAGCCAAGAAACGGTTGACTGCGGAGCAAAAGAACATAAACCACCTTGCAAGGTTACAGCAAACCAAGTCGCTACTCAACTTCTTACGAATGGAAGAACTACTAACCGATATAAGGACCCAAACATTAGGAGAAGATTGGATTCAGAGACAAACCACCTAGGAACTCCTTTTACACTGAAAGAACTCAACGACGGTCTGAACAGGTTAAAAAACGGGAAAGCTGCAGGTGTAGATGATATATGCAGTGAACAAATAAAGCATTTAGGCCAAGGAGCAAAAAACTGGATCTTGTAATTTTATAACACGTGCTGCAAAACCTGCAAAATTCCAAAATCATGGAGGAAATCTAAAGTAATAGCCTTGTTAAAACCAGGAAATGATCCAGAAGACCCCAGTAGCTACAGACCTATTTCGCTATTGTGTCACTTTTTTAAACTATACGAGAGACTCGACTCGCCAGAATAGAAAAAAATGTCGACAAGCACCTCATCCCACAACAAGGAGGATTCAGACCTGGCAAATCTTGCACCGGTCAAGTCCTCGCATTAACAGAACACATTGAAGAGGGCTTTAAAGAAAACTTATAACAGGGGCTGCTTTTGTAGATCTGACAGCAGCCTATGACACAGTAAGGCACAAAAAATTGCTCCGCAAATTATACGACACTCTCAATGACCACCATCTAGGAAAGGTCGTATATTCCTTACTGCAAAATAGACGTTTTTTTCGTTATACTTGAGGGTAAAGTAAGTAGGTGGAGAGTTAAAAAAAAACGGCCTCCCACAGGGAAGTGTCCTAGCACCAATGCTCTTCAATATATACACAAACGACCAACCTACTCCGACCGAAACCAAGCACTTCCTCTATGCTGACGATCTTGCAATATGTGCTCAAGGAAATAGTTTTGAAAAAGTGGAGGAGAAACTCGAAACTGCCTTAAAAACAATGACAGCGTACTACCTGCAGAATTATCTGAGACCCAATCCCTCTAAAACCCAAGTCTGCGCTTTTCACCTTCGCACAAAGGAAGCCAAGCGAAAACTCAAAATTGTGTGGAATGGTAATGCATTAGAACACACAAACCAACCTATATATCTTGGAGTAACTCTGGATTGGTCCCTCACCTACAGACAACATTGCATAAAAACAAGAGGAAAAGTAACAACTAGGAACAGCATACTCAGAAAGCTAACGGGAAGTAAATGGGGCGCACGCCCTGGCGTTTTAAGAACAACGGCACAGGCACTGTGTTTCTCAACTGCTGAATATGCGTGCCCCGTTTGGAGCAGATCTGCCCACACCAAACAAGTTGATACTGCGCTAAATGAGACATGCAGGATAGTAACGGGGTGCATGAAACCAACGCCACTTTCAAATCTATATAGAGCAGCAGGTTTTGCAGAACCCTCAACACGCAGAGGCGCTGCAAAACACATAGAGAAAATTAAACAGATCGCGGACGATCGGCATGCCCTATACAAAGCTCGAACACCACGAAAGCGACTAAAATCTAGGAAAAGCTTCCTTGGAACAGTGCAGAATGAACAGCCTGAGTATTTTCCACTTCCCCAGGTTTCATGGACCGGCCAGACCCTAGACTTTAAAACGTGGAAAACCTTGAATAGGATAAAAACGGGGGTTGCTACAGTAAAATCAAACATGGCAAAATGGGGCAAAATAGACCAAGATGATGTGAACTGTGACTGTGGAGAAACACAAAATATGGAACATCTTTCATGCAGAAACTGTCCTCATCGATGTACTCTTGAAGATTTGCGGTCAAAATATAAATTAAGGATCACTCAGACGAGTGGTGGTTTTTTTTTGTATTGGTTGAAAGGTGGAGAAAAAAGACAAAGTTGATGGCTACTTTATCTATTTATTGAAGACGTTTCGCTTTCATATTCAGAAAGCATCATCAGTTCATCTAAAAAGAACAATATGAAAAAAAAACCACACAAGCACGGAAAACTTGTTACATGTGTTACGTTAAAGTAAATGGACATTATACGATAATATTGTATAGACAATCAATTAAACTAACAACAATTGGCAATTTGTTAAAACTTAGCACAGCAAAGGAACATGTGGTATTTTATACATGTAAACGTAATAAAACATTAAATAGTGATTGAAGAACTAAGAATATTATAGATGCACTTCCAACAAATATATTAATATTTATTATTTGATTTTAACCTTAGGTAGCATTATTTAGAATAGCTCGAGACAGAGACAGTTTCGCCATGTTAATCGCCAACGTCAAGGGGACTTGATAGGGCACGTTAAGAAGAAGCATTATTAAAGTGAATAATATTGAAATTTAATAATGTAGTGTATAATGAAATTACCACTGTAGGCTTCACGACTGCTGCCGCTAAAATGGCGTTCGATTGAAGCAAACGGCGCCAAACAACGTGAAAAGACAACCAACCTTGAGGTCATAAAAATATGACAGAACTACAAGGTGAGATACCAATACTAATTATAGAGCGGTATATTTAAAAAGTAAAATGAATTTTGGATGATAACCCGTCTGTAAGAAACCAAACAATGAGAGAAAGAAAGATATTGGTAACACCAATTTCTCCCATTAATCAGCTTATAACAAACAAACAAGTGAGGTCAGTCCAAAACTCATATATATATATATATATAATATATAATATATATATATATATATAATATATATATATATATATATATATATAATATATAAATATCGTCAATGTTGTGGCTGGATATTCAGCCACAGGTGAAAAACGATCATAATTTCAAACAGTCCAAGGTTCATACACTTGGAACTGTAAATAATAAGAGATTCTATGAATCAATTTAATTATATGTATTAAAGTATTTAATTAAAAAACAATTAATACAAATCTATTTATATGCAAGGATGAGTAAGTCAGAGTAATGTAAGTTGCATAAGTCTAAGATGAATTAAGTAAGAAAGTTAATTTATTCTAATTTATGTTATGAATTTATTTAATATGTTAATAGTATTTTCAAATTATTTGATAAGAATAGATAAGAATATATATATATATATATATATATATATATATATATATATATATAAATCCAAAAAACTAAAAAATAGTTGATCGCCTAATTTACCTTGCAAACACACTACGAAAACGAAAACAAAAAAAAATATTATATCATTCGAAAAATTATTAATTACAAAGTTAACGTTAATGAAGCAGTACCAATTTAATAAAAATAATCCAGGAAAGTGCATCGAACTCATAGAGGGACCAAACAGTTTTGCATTTTTGAGAAACACAATATTCTTATCACTGCGTATCTATCACTCTGGACAGAAAACTGCCATACCGCTTTTCCTGTAGTGACAAAGTATCACACCATTTACTTATTGATACATTTTTGAAACAGTTGGCAAATAAAAATAAAAAATATAAAAATATTGTACTTTATCTGATTATTATGGAGGAATTTTCATTTATATTTGCAATAGTGTCATAGTCTTCGTTTTATTGATTTTCATTTTTCTTCCTACTTTTTTGCCTTCACTATTTAATTTTTTAATCCTCATTTTCAGATATTTTCTTAAGTATCAAAAATATATCTTTAACACATCGCGAATAAGCCAGCTATTATTTATTTTAAACGTATTATCTTCTGAAGAAAAGTTAAAGATACAACATACAAAAGGTCCTATAAAAGGTTGAACAAATCTTTAAGCAGCTATTTTGTAAAAAAGTTTAAATTAAAAAAAAAAAATCAGATACACGTTTTGTATATGGGCGCTACTTACATCTGAATCTGCTCCCTTGTCAACTCCAGGACAAGTAAACGAGACATATTCGTGGCATCTCTTATGAACGACGAAACTGCACACTGAAAAAAGATAATATAATAAGTAATTAAAGGAGTTTTAGGTTCAATATTTAGTATATTAAAAGCATATTTTATAATTAATTGTTTTTTTTGAATTTGAAGAGTTGGTAACTATTTGGTAACTAGAGACTTACTTAAATCTTTATTATTAAGAAATACGACGGTAGTTATTTATATCTCTTTAATTAATTATAAATATTAGCTTATCACAATATGGCTTTAGTTTCACATCTTTTAAACTCTCACACTCAAATTGGCTGATTTATGATTGTCAAGTACTTAGAATTCACTTGTTTAAAAGCAACATGTATTTAGGAAACTATTTATTACCCAGAATATCTTGGGGAAACGTACCCATCTTTTGTGTAAAAATGACACTTTAAGCAAAATTTGTTCCTATGTTCGGAAGTTCTAAGAACAAAGAAATCATCCTAGTTTCTTACAATCTTCGTGATTGGTATCAAACAAAGACTACAAACTATAATAAACATCCAAAGGACAGAGATAGAACACGTAGATGAATATACATACCTGGGTCAAAATGTCAACATAAGGAAAGAAAATCAGACTATGAAATGAGCAGACGTGTAAAAATGGGATGCGCAGCATTAGGAAGACTCTCATATGTACTTAAAAATAAAAATATACGTCAAAGACTGCGAACCAAAGGGAATTCATGTATCCTACCTGTACTTACATATGGAGCTTCAACCTGGACATTCACTAAAATAAACATAGAGAAGATCACAAAAACTCAGAGAGCTATAAAACCACAGATGCTGGGTATCTTACTCAAAGACCATAAAATCAATGAAGACATTCGTAACAGAGCAAAAGTAAAAGATGCTGTCGAACAGCCAGCTAAACTGAAATGGAAATGGGCTGGATATAACGACCGGCCTAAGGATGACCGATGGAATAAAGAAATCGGGAATTGGCGGTAGTATCAAGCCAAAGGACCACGAGGAAGACAACAACGGACATATAGGAGCCCGGAAAATGTGTAAAATTGTATAGCTGTCGCACGACAAAAGGGAAAGAAATAATGAAAAGAATCGAGGAATTCATAGCTGATGTAGGAACGCCAAGAAGGAATTTATTTGACAATGCAACGTGGAAAATATCGAACTTAGTAATGAAGTTCGTTTCGGTTTGTCAATGCCCCTTTGTCCGCTTCTCGTCGAGCGATGATGATAGGGTTAATAAATGTTGAAGTTGTGGAGTAAAAGTGATGATTTATTGACAGCAACTCGTAATTACACAATATGGTGTTCGTTCGGTAACTACTCAATATTGACTATGTTCATTTGAACTCAAATCCCCCAATTTATAATCTCACACATAATAGATACATAAGCACCTTAAGTCATTGCTTCGTTCATATCACACCACCTAACTTTTGCTTATAATACAATTTAATCTACGCCTTAATTGCGACACTAGGAAGTTCAATTAAAAAATATTATTATTCGGCAATTTATTTAGTTGTAGGTAAATGAACTAATTATTAAATTATCATACGATATGGTTTTGCAATATATATAATGCAAACTTATACACGGTGAATCTATAAAAGATTAAGAAGTTAAGAATAATGTGAGATTACAAATTAAGTGGTTAATTTGTGATTGAACACAACGTATATTGAAAACGACCGGTTCAAAGGACAGCTTAGGGAAAGAGGAATAAAGACAAATCTTGTCAGCATTCGACATCTTCAGAGCAATCCTTCAAAAAGGTTTATTCAAGAGGTGACGAAGTTTCTTCGCACTGCTACAGATGAACAACATAAAACATGGGACTGAAAATTAGCAGACATAGAAAATTATTTAAATAGGATTCCAAGTACGGTGACAAAAGAAACTGCGGAATACATTATGAAGGGAATAATGCCAGTAAGGCCGTGGGAAGACACAGAGCTCGGAGAATATCAACTAGTTTTATAACTGGTACAGAGAAGACTTCAAAGAAGTAATAAAAAATACATTTAAAGGCAAGACCGCAACAGGAAGGAGAAGAACCGTTACGTGTCAAGTTGGTGAAAAGGTGCTGGTGAGAGCTTTGAGAATATCCAATCTCACCAACAACATTTGTGCTAAGCTGATGCCAGTGTTTGAGGGTCCATACATCGTGAATAATGAAAACGGTGTAAATAGATATATCCTGAGGCATGTGGACTCTGAAAGGATCGGAGGAGTTTTCAAAATTCACGATATATACAAATATGAATAGTAAACATGTCGGTACATTTAGAGATAATTATAAATCAAAGTTTAGATTTAAGAATTATAAGTAATCCTAAAAATTTTAAGATTTCAAAAATCAAATAGAAAATATTAAGACACAAATCAAATCACCGACCAACAGAAGTCGCAAACACCCTGTATATGATACTGTTTAGCATTAGTTGTAGAACATGTTTTTTTTTGGAAAGTGAATTTTATACGTTCAAAGACATTCCCAGAGAATAAGAAGACAATATATTGGGTTTTCTAACGGTTTAGTTTTAAATAGACATTTTTGTAACAGTTCTACCTTAAACTTTCTGTTGTATGGACTACCAAGAATTAGACAATAGGGTAGGTTTGTAAATGGTTTGTAAGAGGTAATTATCCTTTATTCTCTAGAAATTGAAAATGTTTATTAGATGACCAACAGATTATTGGATAGGAGAAAGATAGCCTTTTTTCTTTGCAGAAAGTAAAATTTGTTTGAATGGAGATACATTCTGATTGGTTCAAGGAAAAAGAGGAAGGAGATGAGAGGATTGTGGATGGAGTTTTGCAAGAGAGAGAAAGGCATTGTGAATTAAATATCGGGCGAGTATATTATAGTTTTTTTTTTGTGAAGACGACGTTGCTAATTAGACCAGTTTTCTTTTTAAAGTCTAGATTGTGAAAAGTTGTATTTGTGTTTGGTGGAAAGAGTTCCAACTGTGGTAGCAGACAGAAGAAATAACTGACATGCTGTAAGTAATCAACAGATGTATAGTTTTACACTAGACCAAGTGGATTAGCTGAGATATTCTTTTTGTCTAGAGAGGAGGAGTTTATTCATGTAGTAAAGATTTGGAGCAGAGGAGTTAGCAGGAGTATTCTGGAGAAACTGAAAGATACGAGCAAGGTGGACAAGGCACAATCAAAGGAGAGAGAGGAAAAGTCATCAATTGTGGGAAAAAAAGTTAGTTTCGCAATTTTTAGAAACAGAGACTTTCAATCACGACCACCTATTTAAATTAGGGTTATTCGTTTTTTTTTCTTGGTTTTATTGAGAATTATAATACATGAGAATTTATCGGGAGTCACTAAAATTAAGAAATTTTAGATTTGCATATAAGCTTAATTAATTTGTATTGATAATTGTGGATGTATGATTTGATGGATGTTTGAGATTTTTATTCCAATCATTGTATATGGTATATTAATGTTTATTCAAAATTTTTACTTTTAAGATTTGATTGTTTTTTTTCAATATAATATTTGCTTTGTAAGTCATAATTATGCTGTAATTTTATTTTCCTATTGTCTATCCTTAGTTTTCCTCAAAGGCAACTAGCAAAAAATACTTGGAAGCCACGTTTTGTTTTTAATAAGTAAAAGAGCCCTGAGATATATTAATTTGTTAAAAAAATAAATATTATAAACATACAGTTTGAGCAAATCACAACAATATATATATATATATATATATATAATATATATATATATATATATATATATATATATATATATATATATATATATATATATATATATATATGTATATATATATATCTATATATATATATATTATATATATATATAATATATATATATATATATATATATATATATATATATATATATATATATATAGTAAACTCTTAAATATTGGGGAAATCTGCAAGAAAAACTCTAATGTGTATCAATTGTTTCGCCTAACGTTTTCGCCAAAGAGAATTAATTTGGCTTCTTGAGGGCTGAAAGAGAATAAATTATAATTAGCTACCATATATTATCTAATAAAAAACATTTACCTTACCGTAAATTTTAGAAATGTCGAGTTATGATGTTGTTTAATAGATTGATAATAGAGTGGTATCAAAGACCGACACATTCTGGTAGATACCTTAACTACCACTCTTACCATAATAACTCTACCAAAGTCAACTTAATAAAACAGATGAAAAATAGAGTAATTAAACTATCAGATCCTTCATTTCATACAAAAAACCTACAAATCGTTCAGAAACTTTTTATTTTAAACTCTTATCCAACACCATTAGTAAATAAGATTTTGTTTAACACTATCCATAACGAAGATACTTTACCTACCATCGTGACTAACAATGCTGATCCTGATGTCTTAAGTAGGAACCCAGTCTCGGATACTCCTATCAATAAATATTTTTCATTACCCTATTTCAGAGATATCACTCCGGGGTTAACAAGGATTCTAAAAAGTTTTGAAAATACCTTTGGGAATAATAATAATAACATTAAACTTAATGTGGCTTGTAGATCAGCCCTAACAATTAATAATCTGTATTCGAAAATAAAAGATAAGACTCCTATAGATAGGCTCAGTAATATTGTCTACAACATTCCATGCCTCTCTTGCAGCAATTCCTACATCGGCCAAACATCTCAATTATTGAAATCACGTATTACACCACACAAACGTGATTCTCGACTTCACCCTGACTGCTGTGCATTAGCCAAACATGTCCATTTCACTGGTCATCACATGAACTATACGAACACTACAATTCTCCACCGTGAGAATAATAAATCTAAAAGAGAGTTCATTGAAATGTCTTATATTTTCCTTAATGATTTTTCCATCAATGTTAAGAGTGACATTAAGAATCTAAGCGATATATACCACTTCTTACTTAAATCAGATACCAAGAACAATACAACATCACAGATAACTAACTGGACTGATATATCTATTAACAACTAACCTAACTTAATAATAATTTTTATTACCTAAAAAAGATAACATTCCCTTGCTTTTCT